TGTGATGAAGAGTGTGACAACACAGCCACTGCATACCCCACCCCCATGTAATGAAGAGTGTGACAACACAACCACTGCACACCCCACCCCTGTGATGAAGAGTGTGACGACAACACAACCACTGCACACCCCACCCCCATGTGATGAAGAGTGTGACAACACAACCACTACACACCCCACCCCTCTTACACTATCACAGCTGTTACACTATTTCCTCTTACACTATCACAGCAAATCTTTTATGTTCTAATATTATATGTTCAAAATTATATAAACCCTTAACTATCACTCACAACAGCGAGTGTTCAAGAACGTTACATGGACAAAGACAGCTGAGAGCTAAACAATCCGGTTCACACAAAAACACTGAGGGTATGAAGTGGCATTGTCATCCTGGCTGGTTTTTTTTATACTCTACATCAAGTTCAAAAATCTTTGTCAGGTTCAAAAAGGTGAAATCATAGGAGCTAAGAACAACTGGTGTTCTGGGTAAACAGTTAATCAGGCTAATATTATTCATATTGCAGTTTGGCTGCTCTTGAACAAAGATTCAAGTTACCAAACAAAGCATTTTGTCACCTTTGATCCATGTGTCTGTATGGAGACACTCTACCAATGCCCAGGATATTACCTACCTAGAACACCTGGGTCTTAGCTTCGATAATCTTACCATTTGAACCTGACAACAATGTTTGGATTTAGTGTATAGAAACTGTTATGCTGTACTTGAAGTGCTCTTTGTCAATCCAAAAGCTTGGCAATAAAAGACAAGAAAATGTTTAGAGTTAAAAAAAAAGAATTTTATTGATTAAAAAACCTCTTATTACATGTAATCTAATACACTATTTAAGTACATGTATRGCATTAGCAAGAGCCATCTTAAGTAATGCTCAAAGCATGTAGACTCAGTACACAAAAAAAATATTTCTGAMAAAGGTGGGTTTGTAAAGCTAGAAAATGATTCTTGCTACCTTGTTGGATGAAAAGCAAAACAAAGTTTCAAGCTTCCTATAGACTCCCTTGCACTAAATCCTTATCTATTTGGTCCTTACCTATCTGATCCTTACCTATGTGGTCCTTACCTATGTGGTCCTTATCTATCTGATCCTTACCTATGTGGTCCTTACCTATCTGGTCCTTATCTATCTGGGGGAACTACTGCAAGGAGTTGATGCTTGGAGGTCATGTCATAAGTGTAACAATGGCTTTTTCTTCTTATACACGGAATCAAAATATGGTGACCAATTTGAATAACACTATTGTTCTRGACTGACCAGCGACTGACTAGCCTCTCACACCTATGAAAACGATTTTATATTCCCATGTGAAAACGAGGCTAGTCAGCCCAGAACAATAGTTATGGGAATTGTTTGCTATATTTCAATTAAGTATAACATCAACTGTCAAGATGTTTTTACACTAAAGATGACATGATCTGTGAAAACATATAAGTAAACTAGTGTTTTCCTCAAAGCCATCATATTTACATTTCTGCTATTCARCAGCACTTGGAATTATTATCATTATTTCATGTCTATTTACAATAATCTAATAAATCAATGTTGATATATTACTTTGTTGATATAAAGGAATCATAATCATTATCATAATCAATATGATTGATAGCAAAGCCTGAGATTGATGCAAAATCAATAGACCTTATCCATTTACTGTATAAGGAAACTTTCCCATTTCTGATCACATGTCATTCTCTTGAGAAYAGAATTCTTTGTTTGAGTTATATTCACAGTCATGTGTCTTCTCATGTGCATCCATTAAATAAAGACATGATACTCTAGGGAATGAATGACGCATGATCTAAAATGGGAAAACAGCAGGGCGTGGTTGTTCACAGCGTGGATAGCACTAAAAAAGGGGGTAAGTGAAGGAAGAGAGAGATGTGAAGGGAAGATGAACGYGAGAGATTAAGATTAATGTTCCATTTAGAAGAAGAGAGGTTGACCCATCTACCGAGGAAGAATGTCCCTAGTACCCTGCAAATGTACCATGCAAATGCATTGTAAATTTGGCAGTATTCCACAATTTCTTTACGCTGAGCATCGTGTTGTTTTCGAGGCATTTTCAATGCCCTTGTGGGATATAATAGATATACAATGCTTTCTAGTGAAACAATATCCCATTTGTCCCTTGATATTTTTTTAGTAAAAACTTGTTCGTATAAAGTATCGCACCGCATGCCACATTCCATAAAATCCCGATCATACTAGGAAATATGCAAGTGACTCGTAGCCAGATATTTTATCAGGGAGGTGTAGTATTTACAAAAGCCATCACACTTCCTTGTTTTATGCCTTCTCTTACCAAGGTGCCCAAGGTTTAATCTGGGAAGGCAAAATTTCTTGATCCACGCCGTCTAGTCGGGTCAAATCTCGGTGACAGGTTGCCATTCGAGCGAAGAGATGCATTGACTTGACTCAAATCTAAATGAAAAAAATACAGGAGTCAGTAAAATTATCACTCTCCTAAAGGACCGGGCGATGTCAACAAAATAACTATTTACCGCCGTTTGCATTAGTACGCGGCCACCCCACACACAAATCGCGTCGTGTAGTTTGCAATAGACTGCCGTCAATCAAACATTTCATTCTACTTGGATGTACTCAAACTCTTTGCAAACGATTTCGGAACTTTCCTTCGTGATATCYGACTGAGAAAGTTTGATAGAAAAGCCAACTCACTGATCCAAACGTGTATAAATGGCGTCAACATGAATGATTGACGGTAGTCTATTGCAAATTACACGACTCAATTTGTGTCTGGGGTGGCCGCGWAGTAATGCAAACGGCGGTAACTGAACCTATAAGCTTTGAAACTTTTTTTAGTTGGCATGCGCACAATATTACATTCTTGAACTAATGCAGCGATCGAAGCAAAGCACTATTGACGATATGTTTTTTTCGATTCATGCTTTTTAAGAAGTGGTTAATCTACATCCAATACTTCAAAAACAAAACACGAGAAACACTTTATTTCAGTAGCGATGGTAGGCTGTCTTTGTCTACAGTAGACATATATATATACTTAAAAAGAATTGACGCAGACGTGAGAACATTCCCAAACAAGCTTGAAGCATTATTAAAGTGAGAACCAAAAGAAAACTTTAATCACTTGTAATTAGAACTTAATCCGGAGAGAATTATCGGAATTTCTAGCCTAATCTCTAATCAATTAAAGGGATAAAAAACTCTAGAACTAATTCTGGATAAAACAGTTTAATCTTATGATTTGACATACGTCAATTCACATAAATATCAGCGGAGAAAGGAGACAAATTCGTTTTGGATAAGAAACTCTAGAACTAATTCTGGATAAAACAGTTTAATCTTATGATTTGACATACGTCAATTCACATAAATATCAGCGGGGAAAGGCGACAAATTCGTTTTGGAGAATTTATACTTCTGGTCGAATTTATATAAGAGAAAAGAATTATATTTTTAACACTTTTAGACAGCTAAAACTTCAAGACTTTCTTCGTTTTATAAATTTTTAAGTATGATTTATAACTTTTTATTTGTCAGGTTAATCATAGATCCATGTTTTGAGATTTATATAATTTATTTTACTGTGTTTGCTTCGATATGAAAGAATAAATTCTCCGAAAGTCGGGTAAATAAAGCAAATGCGAAGAACATCCCTTAACGTTAAAGTATGTCATTTTGTTTGACAGAAACTCTGATAAGATTTGACAACCTTGGAAGATTTGGGAAATTCAAATAACTTTTTCTTTGAATGGKATACTTTGGTTCACGGTGGATTAAGGGTATAAAAATCTGCCTGGGATTAAAACTTTCAAGAGTTCTTCAATCTTTCTTCGTAAAAAAGGAATCTGGTTTTAATTTCGTTGACAAGCTCTAAGTCAAAGAATAGATGAAAGACGCGAAGATAAAAATCAAGAGTTTTCTGTTTTTCAGGTTGGTAGGTTATCTGTGGATCTTGGACGCGGTTAGGCTCTCGTTCGTCACAAATTGACGACAAAATTAAACAAACCAGACTGATATACAGCTTCTTCTTATTAACCTTGAAATAATAAAGCAGGACTTTGAAGCCATAAAGAAAGCGAATATATTGCTTTTGTTATTTCCGCCATAAGTGACGTGATGGAGGAGCAGAGACTGGCAGTTAGGAGATATTTTTAGATTAGGCGACAAGATGTGTTGKTTAGGACGGCTGTGTGTATTTAGACACAAAAACATTTCAAATTTCAATTGAAGTCGTCTTTTGAGCAAACACAAGCAAAGTGCTCCTTCCGTTAGGATGATATTTAAAAATTRATTCGCWGAAGGCGAAGTGAATATCGGGAAATATTTATCGAGACGCGAGTATTAGTAGTTTTAACACAAATGAATATAATAAATAACGGAGAGAGAGTTTTTTTGTGTTCAAATCATATTTATCTCTGCACACAGTACAAATCGACAAACGAGCGTGCGTGCCTAGTAGATAGCATAAGACTCACATTGTAACCAATGAGGGAGACGGATTTATTATATTCACTTTTGTAAAAATACTAATGTCTATTATTTAAATTTAAAAAAGCAATTGGCAAGTATAAAGTCAGCTGATTGGACAAATAGAAGCTTTAGTGACGCGAACTGATAAATTTATAATAATATGCAAATATCTGATTGGTTGATTTAGAATTTGTTTTTACTAAACTGARTAGGAGCTGATTGTATCGTTATGGTAGATAATGATTGGTCCTGAGTYATGGAATGGAAGGTGATTGGTTGGCAATGAACATAAGATGAAAATAGGATTGAAGCTGATTGGTGGATTATGGCATGTGCATTGACCAATAAAAGCTATGAAGGCAGATTTGATGCTTAATATTTAGCATTTACAGTCTTTTAATGATTTTAATGYGTATTTATTTATTGATTTACATACAAACTGTCTAATTAAATGAATATGAGAGTGATGTGTTGAATTGTTTATGTTTTCATKTGTTCAAAACCTTGGATTATTCGTTTATAAAATAAAACTGATTATGGAGTTTATGCACATATATTTAAATTGAATTATTTTTACATCCTGGCTTTATATGAATCAAAACTTTTTCTGAATTAATACTTTTTTAAGATGTTTAAAATCTGGATCAAAAACAAATTCATATTTAAAGTTTGGTGAGAAAATAATGAATAGATTTTCCCTTGTAAGACGTTTAGTTAGTTTGCCATTTCTTTAGTACCGAGTAAGCAGCTTGTGCTTTCGACACTTTTTGTTTAAACTGCGCCAGAATCTGAGGGTTTTTTGACTGTAATTCGTTACCTAGCGACAAGCTGCTGTTGGGGACAAATGACGTAGGTCTTCTCTTCTTGGTGGGACCACGTGCCACCTGGCGGGCACGTGACCCGAAGCCTATACACTGTAGAGTCTCGGTAATGTACTTTTGTGCAGGAGAAACACAGAGCATGACGAGTAGCTTGGCATTTCCACCTAGACAAATGAAAAAAACTACATGAGATCATTTGAAGACTACGTCAACGCCTCCATTTTAGCTCATATAATCCTACAGAACTTGTCGTACAGTCCCCTTGACATTAGTACAATACACTGGGCCCCGATTGTGCTTACCTATAGTATCCTGCAGCATGTGAGTCAAACGGGTATTTCTGTACGGTATATGTGATCTGTGCTCAGCTAGTGCTCCCAGAACGTCGGCCAAAGCACTCAAGCTACGAAAAAGACACGAAAATATTGATCGAAATTTGAAAAAATAGGCGAGAAYTGGCATGAAGTTGAAATGCTGGAAAAATCAAGTTTTGGAAATCTGGAAAAAAATCCCATCTAAAAGAAAACTTGTCGATTGATCATTGATTGTTCAATGAATAATGGTCAATCGTCAACCGACATTGGGTGGTGCGGTCGTTACCTTTTGTTAATGAATGACGTCTCTCGTAATGCTGCTCCTGTCACACCAGACAAACCTAACAAAAATAAATGGGTTACAATGGGTTTGGAGTAGCTGCGTTTGTGGAGAAATAGGGCTGAGGAATAGATTATTGGTAATATACTGGCATTAATAGAAAATAAATATTTCATTTTTATGAGAGATCTATATTTATTCTATACAGGACTCTATTTAAACTAGCCTGTGCTAAATTAGATGTTCCTCAGTTAAAATATTGAATAAAACAAAATAAAAAAATGACGAGGAGTATTTTCATTTAAACGAACAATTCTCCGCTTGATTAGAATTCGAAATTGGGTGTTTTAGTAAAAAAAAAAAAAAAAAAAAAAAAAAAAANAAAAAAAAAAAAAAAAAAGGAAAAAGAAACGAGCATTACCTACGAGCAAACCTACGAGCAAACCTACATTATGCATATCAATTATGATGGTCTTACCCACGCACTCGCTGCCAGCCAAATCAACTAACTGGAGTTTAGTTTTGACAGTGGTAGAGATAGGTGGAGGGGTACCAGTACTCGACCGTGAAGGAGATGGTGACCTGGAACGAGCTGCTGCGCTACCTGGAGCAGGAGATCTGGGTAAGAAAAAACAACAACAATCAAACGATGTTGAAGGTAACTGAGGATACAGTGTAGACCAATCAGCCGTTATTTCATTTACTCTAGTCTGGGTAGGGGAGGGAGAAGGAGAGGGAGAATAACGAATAACTGAAACAARCATATATTATCCAATCGAAATCTATGAAGAACTGAAAAAACACACACACATGTTACCCAATCCGTCCTAAACCACTATTCCCTATTCACTCATTCTCCTCTTCGTCCTAGGCACACTGGTTTCCCATTTCAATTGTGCGTAATGACTTTTTGTATATTTGGTCAATGTCCCTTCTCACTAGTGTTACTGGTACACAATCATATAATATTAAGATATGGGAAAACTTTACACAGAATAGAAAGATATATTCATTCTTGAATTCCTTGGCAAGGAAGATGGTGGAAAAACCTAACTGTAGATCTAGAATCGATTTACTTTGAACGTGTTTGTCGCATGGTGCGTCCTTTGGGAGCAGGAGACTGTGACCTGCTGACGTGATTAGCAAGCTGCGGTAGGTTTTTACGTGTTCTGGTGGGCGTGCCCGGTGGCGAAGGCGCGGCTTCTGAACTGGGCGTTGATACACGTGCTACTGGTTGCTGATTGGTCGTCATGAACACTTGTAATTGGACGATAAGATGAGAACGACTTGAGTGCGCATGCACCATAGTGGCGTCCTCATGACGTCGACACATACCAAAGTACACCAGATTCATTACTTCGTTGAAGTTGGATACTGGTCTATGAAGAAATAAAAYAACATTATTATTATGAAATAAGAGAGGAATCGGTAAAATCTCCCGAACCCAATTTAGTAGTACCACTCGAGGTTGGGTTGTCTAATCTATTGTCAAATACTATCAATATGGCGGCGGTAACGTACAAGAAGAAGAAGAAAGCATGCAAAACAAAACCCAAAAGTTTTCTGTTCTTGCGTTTAATTAAGTATGGACCACGAATTGTTTTCGCATTGTTCTGAAATGTCAAAAGCAGCGAGTGCAGTGAATGAAATTAATGGCTTGCTGTGAAAATCAGCAAAGCAACGATTTCATATTAGCTAGGATTACGATTTTGGTGATTTACTCTTGCTTTTCAAATTACTAGCATTGCCCCTTGAAACGAAAGAAAAGGAAGCAAAGATAGTATTTTAAAAACCCTTATTGTGCAGGTGAGTAGAATTATGACCGAATGTTTTCTCGGGATTTTCTACCTGCATGAATTTCTGAAGAAATAGAAAACGCGCGCGCGTGCTGTGTGCTGTCATAAAGCACGCGGGGGTTGGCAGAACACGAGAGAAGTSTTAGGAGAAGCACGACGCGTAGCGGAGTGCTTCTYGACACTTCTCGACTGTTCTGCCAATCCCCAAGTGCTTTATGACTGCACACAGCACAACACACAGCACAGTTTAGACGATAACATTGTTATGGCAATAAAGCCGCATCATTTGGTCCAATAAACGAACATTAACAAAAGGAAAAAATTCAAAAATTCATATGCCACGAGACAGAAAAACACGCCAGGAGAAATTCCCGAAACAAATCTAGAAAAACAGTCATAATCAAAGATATAATGTGTTTCATTTAATCAAAGTGTGTTATCAGGTTTTAAAAACAAATCTTACTTGGTAACCAAGGATGGGATGTCCGTGTCACCGTCACTGCTTGTTATGATGTTCAGCTTAAAACAGAACAAAACCAATATATATATATYAAGATTTTTGTCAGCCCGCTGACTAAAAAGCCTGAAGAGTCTAGGCTCGAGATTGCTGCTACACAGGCAACAAATTTATAAGGAAAAATTTCGCCGAGTAATATAAACCTGCCCAGAGAAACAACTGTCAGAGTAAAAGGAACATAGTTTTCTTCAAYATTATAGTGACTAAAATTAGTTTGATAGAGCAGTTTTCGCATGACTGTGAAAAGCTCAGTGCCGTAAGCGTGACGTGCCGTGACCGTGATGCTTTCTAGAATTTTAATTGGCTGATTTTTTTCATGCGCAATATGATTGGTCTTGCTTTGCCGTGACCTTAACGTGACCGTGTCCGCGCCGTGTTCATGCCGTGTTCCGGGTATTCGATTGGATGGAGAGTAAATTCTCGTGCAATGTAATTGGTCTGGCGTATCCCTTGCCGTGTCACGACCGCGTTCGTGCCGTGAACTTTTCACGGTCATACGAAATTTGCACTATGTACTAGACAGCGTGGCAGGCACAAAGGGAAGGGAAAGGATGGGGGCCTGTGGTGGGGGCCCGTCCCTTTGCGCCTGCGACGAAGACTAGAAACATACCTTTTCGTTCTTGTTGGGCGCCAGCAAGTCTCGTACATCATTGTTGTAGATCTCACAGACTGACATCTCCACCGAATAGGTTTCTGTGAGCGTCTCACGCTCTGCTATCAACCTAAATACATTGAATACACCACATTACAACACTGTTGGGCCTTTTTGATTAAAAGCAAGGTACAGCCAAACATAAACACAGACATTTAAGGGAATATTGCATGTAAGTAGTAATATGTTCTGACAATTAACACAACTAATGAGATATGGATACAGGGGGAAAAGGTGTGCGTCTACAGTGTGGACAGTGAGGGGAGAGAGGAATGTGTTCGTTTGCAAATAGTCGTGCGATATGCAGTCTTTTCTCTGGACGTCAAGAGGAACCGCAAAAAAGAGAGACGAGGGTACTAATGCTACATTACCCCTGACTTCGCTTTCATTATCTTACTTGAAAATCTCCTTGGCTGCTCTGGGAATGATTCCTTCATCTTTGTTAAGTTCTTCAGAGTCAATATCCACATTAACGTCATGGCTCCCTAACATTGTGTGTGTCTTGCCGGAGCCTGTCTGACCATATGCCATGATACATACGTTGTACCTGAAATAGGTGGCAAACAAATTGATCTGCATCATATTTTCTAACGGTTAGTCTGCGTGTTTAAAACAGCAAATCAACAACAAGAAAAAACGAGATGAAAAGTAAAACCAATCACTAAACTAAACAATTCAAAACTAGCTACTGTACAGCTGCACTGGAAATAAGTCAAATTTCTTTATTCCAGGAATTCTGTGCCTAAGAGAGCTTATTATCATCATCATCATCACCAGTACCCCTATCATTATCATCATCATTATCCACCAACATCAACACCGCCATCACCATCGTCATAATTACTACTATCATCATCAGCATCATCACCATCATTACTACCAGTGTCATCACCGTCACTACTACATGTACCACTACCACCATCATTATCATCATCATTATCCAGCACCACCATCAGTGCACCACCACAATCAACACCCCCATCATCATCATTACCATCCTCACCACCATCATCACAACTGTCATCAATATCATCATTGATCATCACAATCATTACCAACACCACTATCATCATCATCACCATCACCATCATCACCTATCATCATCATTATTTCCTGTTAACCTACCCATCCAGTAGTGAAGTGAGTAGAGTCTTGACATCATCAAAAATCTTCTTCTGATCATCCATATCATTATAGACATGTTCGAACTCCTTCTGTTGCATGATTCGTTCTCCATTAGACTTGATTGACACATATGAGAGTGTTTCCTCATCAACATAGTTAACAACTTGTTCTGAAGGGGTACCTGGTTTGCCCAGTGAAGCTTCATCCGGGGAATCAATACCAACAATGAGAGGACGAATACGGCAGTGGACTCTGATGTTACCACGAATTTCCTACAAATAAAGTTACATAGATTAATAAGAAACGCCAAAGAACTTTCTTGTGACAGAGTTTTCTTATAACTAGGAAAGTGAAGCAGTTTTTGAACTTAATACAGGTCTTTGTTAATTACAGTACAAGAGGCTTTCTCTAAGCTTTCTGGTTTTCCTCCCTACATACAGATCATAATGTGAGTTGAGTGCTATGTGTTGTAAATGGTGAATGTAGTGGTAGTGTGTGTCGAGCTAACCTAAACAAAGAGCTTTATATAAGTTTTCTTACCACAAGTGTATTGTGCAGGGTCATTCTCCTGTTCTTTTCTGTTGCCGCCTTCAACAGTGCTGTATCAAGCTTTAGTTCTGTTTCCATCAGTTTGGACTGAATCTCTAAAATATGTACAGTACACCACAGGTTAAAAAAACCTTTCCCACCAACCAATCAATCCTTTTCTTTATGCAACAATTAGAGACCACTATAAGAGGGAGGGTGGCTGAAGACTAATCATCCCTCACCCTTTGACCACTAAAACAATATCATCCCATCAATATGATTAATGCCATCACTGAAAAATGAAATCATAAAAATGGATTATGAAACTCGCGCTCTTAAAGTCTGATAAGATTCATTAAAAAATGACCAACATGGTTAATGTAAATAAACTTAAATTTTAAGTTTATTTGGCATCACGAAAATACATACTTTAATATAGATATCATATAAATATTTGGTGTGCTATAAGGTTTTTAGTAAACACAGTTGCAAGGGTTTCCTGGTACCTTAAACTCAACACAATTTAGGTACCAGTGGTCTCCATCATGGGCCAGATGTTTGGGCTCAATTTGTGGATCATTTTATGGGTTGGAGTAACTAATTGTAGCATTATCAGATTTTTCTGCTCCATGCAGTAATACAGCATGCAAGATTTTGTGAAAGATTTCAGTGAAGAGATGTATGCATTGTAGGCAAGTGCATCTCACAATTCTCACAGACAACTAAGAGTGCTTCCTAAGAACAATTCTGTTTTATTTGCTTTATTATGTAAAAATGATCCATTGCAGTTTTGTTATACTTTGCAAAGATTGGCTGCATAATTATTATACAGTATGCATGGGCAAAGGCATTAGCAACCAATTGCTCCATTCACTAATTCAGCGTAGTTTTTTGACAAATCAGATTGTATGTACAATACAATGTAAATCCCTTACTTTCAATGCTTGACAGCCCTTCGGATCCAAATTGTGATGTCATCTCTCTAGCCTTCTTCAAATCCTTTGCAAAATCTGCAGGCATTTCTTTGACTGTCACTCGCAACTCATTAAGATCAGTTTTGAGAGTCTAAAAAAGTTAGGGGATTATAAATAAGTGTGAAAAAAAATCAAAGAAAAGTACAGGAGTATACATGTATTGTGTTGTGAATGAAAGACTTCTTTTAAAACAGGTTTTAATATTACATGAACTTGAAATATTCAAGTTACACAATGAAATGTATTGCCAATCAAAAGTAAGAAGTCATACTTTTCATATTTGGTGGCAGGCTAGGAGAAAAAAAAAATCCAACAAACAGCTACATGTAGGCTACAGATGACTACTGTATTTTGCTACTAGGCTTGTGTGCCTCAATTAGTAAATCCTATTACTATAACTGCACACATATAGTCCTTGGCAATATAATGGTATTTTCCCTATCCTATTTCCCTACTTCACATTATTTATCAAGAGTTGCCTGCATGAGGATTATAATAAATTAAATTAAATTGCAGAACTATCTTTTGAAACATAGCTGTAATAATTATTACACTTGTCAAATAAAAGGCCAAAGCCACATTGGACATTTCAAAGACTACAAATTCCCAGATATCCAAGAAAATTACTTTAGAATCCCAGTTATGAACTGAAGTGTTTTACAAATTTGTTAGGGTTTTTTGATGTGCATATAATCGAAGGGCTCATAACTGGGGGGGGTGGGGTGGGGATGGACTTATAAACTGCCCAAGACTTGCCACACAACCATACATCTCTTTGTAATTCATAGTGTTTTCAAAAAACTTTTACTCCCAAAATATTGAACATATTACCCTCAAATTTCAGTAGTAAGTTGCTAAATAGGGCATTCTCTTTCGATTTCTGGAGTAAGTTTGCTTGTAGCTTGAAATTTTTTAAATGCTAATGAGGAAAAAAAATAAATAAAAATCGACCTACAAGTCACAGGTAATTAATGCAGGTCAGAGCAATATTAGTCTTCAATAATTGTTCTTAAGTCTCATATGTTTTCTCAGTTTGACCACAACAAAAATATTGAATATTTGGTTTATAATACAAATGAATATGAAAATCCTGATAGTGATTCCATACCTTCAATTCTTTTTTAAGAGATTTACATGACTTTTTCACATTGCTTCTAAATCCTGTTTCAGCTTCAAAAAGTCTTCTGAAATGACTTGATTCAAATCTTGATGTTCTCACACTTCCCTGGCACTATATGAAGATTAATAATATATAACATATAAGTATGTTATATGTGTATAGATGTCAAAAGAAAACAATGATAATTGGGCTACCTGCGCTGTAGCCTTTGGGGAGGGGGGAGTCTCCCTCCCTACAATACAATACAATACATTATAAAATAACTGCTATGAATCTCGTGTTCTGCTTGGTTGTGAGCACATGCTTTATGAGAGCACATAGCACGCGCGCGCACTTTCAGTTGTGTTTTATAAAAGAAAAAAAAAACTTGCTTACTGTGCTGTGTGAAGTTATAAAGCACTTTGAGATTGGCAGGACACTTGAGAAGTGTCGAGAAGCACTCCGCTATGCGTCGTGCTTCTCCTAACACTTCTCTCGTGTTCTGCCAACCCCCGCGTGCTTTATGACTGCACACAGCATGCGTGCGCGTTTTCTATTTCTTCAATAGACTTTATTTTAAGAGAGTAGCACTTAACAGTTTAGGAATTAAACCCTGTGACCCTTCCTCTCCCTAAAGCACCGCTACATAGCCTACCCATGTCGGCTATGCCTCGTGGATCCACACTACTTTGACAATGTGATGATGCAATTTATCCTTGTCAATAAGAGGACAGACACATAAAAAACTAATGTCTATTTGTTAACCATACCCCACCCATGGAGGATCGAAATTGAAAATTCTGGAGGGGAGGGGGTCAGAGAATGAACAAAATTACAGTTTGTGTGGAAGACAATTGGAAGTTCCTGGGGGTAGGGGGCTCTTTTTACAAATTTCCATTTCCATTTGCATGTATTGCTCAGAAAATACAGCCAGCATATGCTCATGAGTAAAAAAAAAAAAAAAAGATAGCAGCATAAATAAAATACACCATTATTTGCATCATCTGCCATGTTTGTTTAGTCTGCATATTATATTGGAATCCTTTGTGAATACCACTGTCAGATATTGCTGCCATGTCTTTGTCATTTGACTCTCTTGAGAAGGATTGCCAACTATCAATTCTCTTTGAAATTCTCTAGCCTTAATTTGGTCCTAAAATATTGAAAGCTCCCTACTACAGCTATGCAGTCTTACTTTTGACCCAACAGTGCAAGGATAAAATTTTTGATCTTCCAGCAATATAAGATTCAAATTTCCATTGGCTTAGTGAAGGAAATGATTAAGCTTATAATCTTGCATGGGCAACTTTTAAAATATTTATCATAAAACACTTTTGAATAGCTAAAGTATAAGAAAATAATTCTCACTTCTACTTCCCCTCACACTTGCTTTCTGAATTTACGACCAAGCTTACAGCTGTACTTTGTACAATCTTTGGGAAGTTTCTTTTACGACAAATTAATAAAAGATTTGAATCATTTTTTGGCTATGCCACAAGCCTAAAAAAATTAATTATGGTTTTATTCGTGTTTTTTGATTTCTTTCCTTCTTTCTATCTAGAGTTTAAAAAGTTATATCGTACCTCAGCTAGTTTAAGATAAAGCATAGCATTTTCAGTCTCTAGTGCTACGATTCGTTCCTCCCTCGCCTGTAAAAAGTAAAAGTTGATATTAAAAAGTACGTTGGTAAGATTATGCTGAATGTAAGCTTATCATCAAAAGAACATTTGATCACATCACCGGTCAACTTATCTTACCCTCAGTAACCGTTCAAGTTTTTGAACTTTTTCTTTAAACATCGAGTCTGCAGGTTCAGGCATTTTGAAGACAGTATGTAAGCCTTGTTGTTTTTAGGTCTGATCGTGTTAAATATTAAGAATCCATAGGATACGTGTACTTTTGTTCAACTCGAAGCGTTCTTTCTTCTTTGGCAACAAGAAAATGTTGTTGACATTTGACATTCAAACCAGGAAATGTTTGGTCAGCTGTTGCGGTCATCGAAATTAAACCGAATTCTTTACGATAGCACTCCGATACTTTACCGAATCCGCAGCGATGTGAAACCAAGGGCGACACCCAGTTTCCTGAAATAATATGATAATAAAAATATAGTCAATGAAAAATAGCTTTTTTGAAAACAACGACACACACACAAATAAACAAAAAACTTAACCGATAATGATTAAAAGGTATTTTCAGTCTTTATGACATGCAAGTGAAATACATAATGGGTTACCTGTGGATTTTCTTGTTGTTTTGGTGTGTTGCATGAATGTGCTATTTCTGTGCCATGCATTCTTCGCGTTACTTCATAAACAGATACGCAGACTTTACAGGAAGCATTGGAGACTGCAGCTATGTTAGAGAGTTAATCTCGAGGCTGTTGTCACAGATCGAGAAGAAGTGCCCTCCAACAAGCCATGAAAACATGGATGGAGGGTTGTATGTTGGACTAGCAGGTATTGGATATGCACTCTATCATGTAGCAGACTCTGGATTATTCCCTGAACACAGGCAACAGCTGTTGATCAAGGCTTTACAATACCTTAAGGTAATATAATTGAGTTATGGCTACGTTTTTTTTAGGTTATTTGAAAACACGTGCAATGTGTTCAGTCATTGTTCAGTGACAGCTAATGTCTTCAAAAGTACTCTGTTACTCTGTTACTCTTGCAATCAAAATTAAAATAAAGCCTTGCTTAAAGAAGATCAAGCGAAGAGGTATCTATCGCTATACAGCTCAACTCATCGATAAACGAATTAAAGTCCTTCGTATTTTTTAAACTAAATTTTACAAAAAGTTTAACAAAACAAAATCAAAAAAAGAATTCCCTCCTCCTTCTCTTACATTGTTTTTTTTAATAACATATAGATACCTCAAGCACAAGCAAACAGAGTATCTCCACACAGCAATGGTGGTATTGGTGCAGCATTTTTACTGGGTCATGCTGGTGTTTATGCTGTGTCAGCACTAGTCTATAATGCTTTGGGTAAGTTGTCTTTATATTATTGGAGAGGAGATAAGGCATTATATGGGTATTAGCCTTGCATCCAATGCCCAACCAGGGGATCACTCTTTGTCTTGTCTCTATCCTTTGACCTGTTTGGCATGGTTGGCCATAACAGGAGTACAAGACTGTAGCCGACATAGCTATATTAATATGGGTCATAGGGATACACGATTTGTTCTATCATGGCAATGTCAATCATGTCAATCATTTGGTTCCTAGGTCTCCATGAAGAAAAAGAACAATCCTACAAGAAATTCCTTGAAATGCATAACATCTGCAAGCCTGTAAACTTTTTTCCTCATGGTTCAGATGAACTCCTCATTGGGCGTTCAGGATACCTGTGTACAGTGCTTGAGCTGAACAGAAAACTGAAGCCAAAAATTGTCCCAAATGAAGTGACGTTCCCATTGATTGATTCTATGTTGCAGTCAGGAATACAGTATGTGCGCCATCACAAGACCAATAGTCCTCTGATGTATTCATATTATAATACAGAGTATCTTGGTAAATACTATTTTAAAGATACTGTACTTTGTGACTGGTGTTCAAGTATTTGTTAATAGCACTATTCGGCAGACTCAAGGTTGTAGTTGCATCCAAAAATTGACAGGGAACAAAATCAAAATAGGCAAAATTCCAATATTAAACGATGCACAAAATTCCATTATATTTAGAGAGTAAAATGGCCATTTTATAAACCTGTCTCGATTTTCCCCCAGTTCAAGATATGGATGTGTGTGAGAAAAATTTTTTTCTTTAATTCAACTCAAACTTTTTTTTTTTTCTTTTTTTTTTTACTTTATTGTAGAAAAATCCTAGCTTCCAATTTCTTCCTCCAGGTGCAGCACATGGCCTTTGTTCAATCCTACAAATGATTCTAAGCTTCCCAGAATACTTCAAGGACAGAAAAGACATCAAATCCCTGATGGTCAATTCTGTTGCTTTCGTTCTTTCCCAGGAACAACCTAACGGTAACTATCCAGCTGCCGTGGACGAACCTAGAGATTCTTCCAATGAGCTTGTTCATTGGTGTCATGGAGCTCCTGGTGTGATTTATCTCCTGGCTAAAGCATATCTGACTTGGAAAGATGAGAAGTACCTCAAGGCAGCTCTGAGGTGTGGGGAAGTAGTGTGGGAAAAGGGGCTTCTTCGTAAAGGACCCGGGATTTGTCATGGGGTCGCAGGTTTGTACAGAACGTTTTTTAATTTTGAACAGTAAAAAATTAGTTATATAGACCCTCATTCTTTTGCGTCTTTTGTGGTTTCGTTACACGTTTAATTTTGTTTCATGTTTCCTCTGATACTCTACTTTTCGTTCTTTCGAGCTCTGATATTTTAACTTTTGTTCAGTATTTACACTCATATTAACCGGAAAACAACCAGATATATAAGAAAAATATTTATAACAGAGTTACATGTACATGGCGTTTCGTTCATTCCATTTTCGTTTGAATTTTTAAGTAGTTGAATTGAAAAACGAGACCTTTTTTCCTAAATTCACGAGATGAGATATAATTAAAAGGCGCGATTACACGGTGCAATTTTCTCTGCAACTTTTCTCGCTACGGCGTTTTTTCATTTTTTTCAAATTGCGTCGTAGGTTACACGCTGCAATCCTGCGTGCAGCTTGTGTCGCAACGCCTTTTTTCTTTATTCGCCTTTGAATATTTTCAACTTTGATAACAAGATAAATGAAAATGTTTGAATCTAATTTTCATTCCATGCAGGTAATGGGTACGTCTTCCTGTTGTTGTATCGTCTAACGAGAGACCAGAAACACTTGTACAGAGCCTACAAGTTTGCTGACTTCATGCAAACGGAAGAGTTCCAAAAAGGAGCAAGAACGCCTGACTGTCCTTACAGTTTGTACGAAGGTCTCGCTGGAACGGTTTGCTTTTATACTGACCTTCTCCTGCCAGACAAAGCCGCGTTTCCCTTCTTTGACGTGTTCTCGTGAACACACTTATAGACCATATGAAAAGGGCGTGTCCCTTGAGATACCTTAGTTCATCAGTCACAAAAGATGACGATGCTTTCATTAGAAAGAGTATAGACCCCTTGCACTGAGTCCCAAGAGGAATTGTTCTGGGGGACAAAACAATGGATTTTTTTTGCATAAGGAAAGACGGCCTATAGTTCTGTCCCCAAAGCAATTCCTCTAGGAAAGCAATGCAAGAGGTCTATATGGAAACTAGTGATCTTTTAAAATTTCAATGTAGTAACATTAAATGATAAAAAGCTACAGCTCTTTGAAATTAGAAAGGTTTGAATGGAAACAACATGTGTTCGCTACATTTCAAATGCTTATAACTCTTCAGGGATTAAATACATGACAACCGAACTTTCCGAAATTACTAATTTAGTCATTGTCTTTCTTGTAATGAAAACAATATATTTTTGAAATCATTAATTATTCGTGGTGCTCGTTCCCAGCCTTACACTCGTTTTTTATATAGTCTATTAGTAAGTTTCACCACAGACTTAGGACGATGGACAAAGATGACTCTTGAAAGTAACTTATAGATAAGATAGTGTAAACACAGATATATTGCGTGTTCATTAAAGTAAAGGAGAACCATACTTGCGTATCAACTATTTTGTGGAAGTAACTTTCAATGTCCCTCTTACTAGGTTTTCAAACCAAAAAAATAGAATTTTCGCTGAAGTTTGCTAGTGTTTAAAAAAAACTAAAGATATATATTTAGGCATTGCCTAAAAGCGGAGCCCCCGATATGGAAGTCACAGGGAGAACAATTTGAATGAAACGGAAAGGTGAAAATAAGATCGGGGAAAAAATCTTCAATTTTTTATTATTCGAAATAATGATAATTTCTCCCATAATAAAAACCATGCAGTGAAATCGAATCGAAATGCACTACATCGGTTTTTTTTTTTTTTGTTTTTTTTTTT